GGCTCTATCAACTGGAAGATAGAGGAAATTCATGGTGAGCCCGGTTCGACATGACCGTTGTACTCTTTACCCTGACAAGGACTTTAAGATCTATACAGCATTTACAGGACAACAATTTAATCAGGCTCCAGTTCTGTACCTTACATCTGGTCCAGCACACCTTTGGGCTCTCCTTGAATGATTCTGTCTCTGATGGCTGTCAACAAGGCAGCATGGAGTATTACTCATAGCTGGTTGCTCTATTTTGCCACTTGTTCATGTGGGAGAGACGTACTGATAGCTCAGCAGAAAGGAGTTATGCAAGACATGGTTAATTGAGAATGCTGGAATGAGGCTTTGTAAATCATTGGAAGAAGATACAATGGCATGAATATGTGCTGAATGAGGTTAGCATCACAAACTTGGATTTTACTGTATGATTTTATGCCAGTGTAATACTAATAATGTTGGCTTGGAGACTTTTTGAAGGTGCATGTGCACGTTGCTCAGAGCCACCGGTCCATTCTATCCAGTGCGACGTTTACCCCCATCCTCAGGCCTCAGTACCTGAACACCCTTTAAACGGCTCATCCTTACTCAAATCTTTGTCTGCAAATGATGTTCCCTTTTATACTGACACCCCCACCTTGTCATGAGCTCTCATGTCTACGGCGCTGTCACTTCAACTGTGAAGCAGTGTATAGACAAGCTACATCTCCATGGTAGCCTTGCCAGTGATGAGTTTCCCGCATCATGTGGACAGATGTGTCAGGGTCTCGTGACTCGAACTCGCTCCCAGTTGGGCGGGGTTTCAATAACTGAGCATGTTTTTGGTGTTGACCGCCATGTTGGTTGGCATCTGGTCGTTGAGCTCAGCGGTGACCTCGTTCCTTTCATGCCTCAATTCATTTTCTCCCCTGTTTCCTCCAGCTTTAGGTGAAGAGACATGGTCAGTCGTTGCTGGATGAGGGGAGATGGATGAACAATGGGAGAGTGTGTCAGATAGCATGGATGTAGATGGTGAGTATGTCCCTTCACTCCCTCCATGCACACTCAGACATCTGCGGCTTGGCCCTACAATGACACCATCCAGGCACATTTGATGGAGTGCCCGCCTCTTGAACACTACACCCTCTTTATGCAGTAGCGATCTTGTGCAAAGACGGTACATGTACGATGTCTTCGTCGGTCTGGGCCCACCAGGGCTGCCTTTTCACCATACCTATGTCTACTATCTATGCACTACGAATGCTATAGAACATATCATACTCTCTTTTATTCGCTTCCAGGACACACCGAGGGCAAACTCGGCATCCATGGGGGTCCCTATGTGCCTCAAAGAGTGGATCAAGGGATACCCAATTATGCTTGCTGACCAGTCATCAAGACCCTGCCCATGCAAAGGTGCCCGTACGTCCCGTATCCTCAGTGTCCGTCATAATGTATGGATGTATATGAAGGATCTCATCAAGTCTGCCTCGACATGGGAGTACAATCTGGGAAAGATCGTCGGCAGGTCACCTGTGAAGTACTCTGATGGGTCCAGGAAGCAGATGGACATGCCGTCTCAGTTTGAAGCAGGACAGGAGGACACAGACCATTTTCGGAGTCTGGCCGATCTCAAATTGGGAGAATTCGAGTCGCTGACATTTGGAGGATTGGGTCAGGAAAAGTTGCAGTTTGATTTGAATGAGAGTGCTAGGACAGTGCGTCTATATTGCATTTCCTACATTTTCTCGTCTTATCGTTTGCAGGAGCAGAGCGCAAAGTGACAGACACTCAACTGGAATGACTTCGAGGAATAATATTGTACAGCTTATAATAAATTTTATAAACAAGCATGGATCTAAAGAAAACCATAGGACTCGGATCTGCCACTCGTATGAGTTGGCCCACGCCAACTAGTCGGCTGAGGCCATATGCGGATCCCAGGATAGAGTGGCAACACTCGGTTGCTACATAGATCCCATACACATCGAGCTGGCAAACGTGGTTCAATGATTCAGTTGCCAACGAGTGCTTTCCGTCACTCTTCCCGGCCCTTCTCTTCTCGTCCGTAAAGGACATCTCGTATCGTACTCCAGTTGTCAGTGTACCATATGTTGCGAAGGCAGCCATATGCCATGCCAAAGTCATAGTTGTTTGCGATACATTTTTCAAGAAGGGAGGAGAGAGATGGATTATCCAGGCTGAATGATGTTCCAAGTGTGGTGTTGAGCCGATCCAAGAGGCCCTGAATGCCGAGGGTAGTGCAGGGAGTGGCAGCAAGACAGGAGGATATCACGGGCTTTCTACCAGTGTACACTCGTTACAATGGAACGATGATCGAAGATTCCTCCTTGCCCAACTCAGTGAAGGCAGACATGGTGACTTCTGGAAGAGTGAGATACTAAAAATATGTTAACAATTTCCCTCCTGCTTGATTGCCGACTCACCTTTACATGTTCAACGACACCATCCAATCCGTTTATCATGTCGTTTTAAAATGATTGACAGTATACAAACTTAGACGGTGATCTCGCTGGCGTACTGAGCACTCGAAATGAAAGGAACAAACGATATGTACTATTTCGTCGCTCAGACAGTGAAGGGAGTACCAAGTGAAACAAATCTCAAGGCACCGCAATTTGCAACTCAAATTCTATTGACAATCACGGCACCTGGTATTTGCCAGCAGCAATCAGGTGCTTTGGGCGCTTACTATCTATTCTCCTTAGCATTCGTCCTGAGCGTCACAGAAGTCAGCTTGGGTTATCCCACCATAGCCAACAAAAAATTGCTGATTAAAGACGGCATTTCATTGAAATGATTTGAGTCTGTCTATGCAGAACGAACTTGAGAGACATGAGGCTAAAAATACCCGATTCTAGCTTTGGCGCTGTCACTGCTGTGGTGCATCGGTATTTTAGGGGGGTCAAATACTTTGAAGGATTTGGTGCTGGATTTAGTGGGTAAATCCCTGGCACCAAAACCAGCACCAAAAACCAATCGGTTCTGAATCGGTATTTAATATCGATTTTGGTACTGGATTTGGATCTAAAATAGGAATACAAAAACACATGGTATTTTGATGAGGATTTGGTTATGCGGATTTGTACTGCAAAAGCATGCGGATTTGACTCAGGGATTTGGGTCCTAAATCCAGAAGGGTAAATCCGCTCCCAAAAATGAGTGTATTTCAAATGTTATTTTTAGAACAAATCTGGATGTAAATACCAAACCAAAAACGGGAAATACAAAGGGGATTTGTTCCAGGATTTGGGACCTCCTGTTTTTGGCTCGGTATTTACATCCAGATTTGTTCTAAAAATAACATTTGAAATACACTCATTTTTGGGAGCGGATTTACCCTTCTGGATTTAGGACCCAAATCCCTGAGTCAAATCCGCATGCTTTTGCAGTACAAATCCGCATAACCAAATCCTCATCAAAATACCATGTGTTTTTGTATTCCTATTTTAGATCCAAATCCAGTACCAAAATCGATATTAAATACCAATTCAGAACCGATTGGTTTTTGGTGCTGGTTTTGGTGCCAGGGATTTACCCACTAAATCCAGCACCAAATCCTTCAAAGTATTTGACCCCCCTAAAATACCGATGCACCACAGCAGTGTGTTTTGTTCTCCATAAAAAGTCAGAGATTGAATTCTTTGAATTGATTTAGCGTACATTGTCCCAAACCCAGAGGGGTTGCATCCGACATCGGCCCATTACGACCCGAAGACAGAAAAAAAGCATTACAAAGTAACTTATCACCAAAGTATGAGTTGGAATGGCTCGATCGAAGGAATGGGGTCATCATCTCCGACAAACCCGCAATGCGTAGCCGAATCAAGCGATAGACCACACTTAGCTCTGGCGCCCAGTAGTAGGCCTTGAACAGTAAGGTTACGTACTGTCTCTTCGTAGTCTTCCGACTCGCAGCCTAGGTATGGCCGCACCAAGTCACCTTGATCATCGTGACCTTTTCATTAGGGGCATGGAACATGGCATTATAATTTCATCGCAAGTGAATTGGCAGGGTTCGAGAATGGATGAGAGATGCTATTGCTTAGTCCAAAGAACGATTGAACGCGAAACGAGACATGGGGAGGGATGTGAGATTCTGCGTGATTTCGAGGACGGAGCAAAAGGCGTGCTTAATGGATGCAATGTGGACCACAGCACGACAGTGGTATGTCGTCGAAGACATAGTGACATTGCAAACCCAGAGGTGAGCAGATTACATGTTCCGAGTGATATCGTAGCGGGTGTGTAAGAAATGAGTTGGAGATACGCCAGGAACATGCTCCTTTAAGAGTCTCCGTAGGCCCGTCATCTCCAGTTGACGTCTGCTTTTCTCAGTAATACTTTTGACCCTGATAGTGTAACTGACAATCTGAGATGCCCGATTCTTCACGTAAACTCTGCACCAGGAAAACGATCCTCTGAAAATGCATGAATATCCGCCATTTCGAAGAGCGTGGAATTCAACGACAGCAAAACAAATGACTCTAGAGTTCAGTGATGGCGGCGGCGACGCCAACGGCCAACAAGGCAGAAGGACAAGCGTGAATCGATGTTAGGAGGAGGCCATTGAAGATAAGCGTTGCGCTGGCGAGAGCGCAGGACCGCCCACCTACGAGAACCAATATCTATTGGTAGTAAGTAGTACATACCCAAGAAAAAACAGCAACAGACGTCGGTAAACGAAGATCTGCCTGCCTTCCCTTAGACTCTGTAGAAAGCTTGGGGCTGTACTCTTGTGCCCGTCGCGGTATGAGTCTGCAAGTTCGTATCCTCGAGGATCGGCAGGAATTGTTCTGGGACCGAAGGTAATGACATCCGCAGTCGAATCGTTACGGGGGACAGGTCTTCTGGTGTATTCGGTAAAGTATTCTGTAAGAGATCGAAATTCGTAAGTTACTGCACTGTTAGTACAGTATGACTAAGCTGGGTCGAAGCGAAGGGACCTACGAAAAGTCCAGGGGAAATAGTGGCCAAAAATATAGCTAGATTTACCAAGCCGAAGAAGACAAGCCTCCTTGGCTCAGTTGGCTAGAGCGCGAGTCTCATACTGTCGTATGCGGATGGCTGTCACATCTTAATCTCGAGGTCGCAAGTTCGAGCCTTGCAGGGGGCATATGTACTTTTCCAATTTTATTCTTTGTTTGTTTTGCTCATTTAAGAATTTTAATTTTAACTAGGGCTGCGCACGAAACCTCCAGGGGAGGTTTCATACCGTTTTGTACCTACCCTTCCTGGGGAGTTTCTTACCGGTACGGTAATTTACCGTTTATTTCGAATCACGTGATCATTCACGTAACCGCCGTGGAGCCATTTTTCCAAATTTTCTGTACGACGCCGACGCTGCCCCATTGTCGTACCTCAAATACTCATGAATTCTGCCCCAATACCCATCAGAATTCCCTGGATATGTCTTCTTACTTCTTTATACACATCTAAGTCTGAGAATCCTCCTCCCTGTCACGTGGTCGGTAAGTTACCTCAATGAAATATGCTCCACTGACCTGTGGTATCTTACCAAAACTGGGGGTTTCGTGCGCAACCCTAGTTTTAACATTATTATATATGGCCATTTTTAAAGGACTTTTGATTTCCGGATATTTCAAATTTCTGGTTTCGGTACTAATAAGTGTCGGAGTCCCGAGCCTGATGTTCTTCCGTTTGGGACATAATTCTGTCCTAATGCGGTTCAATGACCTTATCGTTCGTTCATATTTACCTGGTCTATAAATATTCTAGAGGCTAGCGCTGGGTTATCTCTGCTCCTCTCGTCTTATTTGAAGAATACAGAATACAACCCTCTGCGTACATGCATACGGTTCATTATAACGTACAGAGACATCATCGACTAACAGATCATCTCGCAAGGGCAGCCTGAAACAACTTCGTCACGAACAAGACATATAAAAAGATTCATCAACTCACAGATGATATCGGCGACACAGTCGCAGCATCCCTAAATACGCGATTAATGAATACGTCAGAGTGCGACGAGTACTTGAACAACATACTTCACAGCATTCTGCAAAGGAGTACGAGGTAAGCTGATGCTGATTGTGGCGGAGCTATAAAGGTCTTACCGAAACAAAGGAAGCAACCGATGAGTCCGAGGAAGCAATCCTGCGGTAAGCACGAGGTGAGCAACGTTGAATGGATGGATACTGGGAACCGAGCGGACCTTTCCTGCACCTCCTCCACGCAGACGCATAGCCTGTCTCTTGTGCTCGCACTCATGGGTCTGAGTCTGAGTTTGCGCTGGGGGGTTGGTGATGTCTGGGAAACGACTAGGTATGCAAGACACTAGAAGTCAGAGAGTGCGTACTCATTCCACCCGCAGCTTGCGGTTGGGAGTCGGTGGGAACTTTGGCGTTTGCAGAGGGTGGGGCGGTCATGATGCTGATGGAGGAGTGAGGGAAAAACGGGGCGGAAGTAGGTGGCTTTATGTATAGCGAGCATTCGCCTATTAATAGATGTGCACGAGGCCTGGAGCCATGACATCACTCCTGCGGGATCTCTTTTCAAATGGGGAGGATGACAACGGTGGGAGTGTCTAATTCTGCGACGAACGTGATGAACGAGTATCTGGGGCGAGGTATTGTGTGAAGGATACAGCTAATGTGACTATAGGATCAGTCTGGGGTTCAGAATGGATCGGAGGACGTACCTGTCCGAATCCGAGTCCGAGGAATCTCACGAAACAAGGCTATGCCTAGCGCAGCACCGCATGTGTCCAGCATTTCAGGCAGAAATTTGGAAGGATCTAAGATGCCCAAATCGGTCATGGACGCTGGGTATATGCGCGTAGCTGACCCTGAAGCAACAAGGAAGGTGCCTGCCGCTCGCTGTTCTGCATCCCACGGACCAAGTGCCCTTGATTGCTGGATGTGATTCATAGCTCGTGCGTAGCTGAGAGCTCAGACTAAACGTCGTGTCGCGGAAAAGGCGCATGTCCTGGCAAATGTGCCCCGTTGAGCTCCGCGACTGAGACCGAAGCGAAGGTTGTGTTACGTGCAAGAACGAGAAGATGCGCGAAATCAAGAAGTTGCCGTAGTTGACCTCACGGTGAGTGAAACGCCAGAATAAGAGTTACAGCAGGAGAATGTCCCCGTTCGTTTTAGGCGACCTAGCAGCGAAAGTGGTGGGGAATACGAATGATAATGCATGGGAGAAAAATTGAAGGCTAAGTTTGGGTAGTTCGTGTCCTAGGTAAATCTAGGGGTTCAGTAACGCAGTTGTCCGTTACTTGATGTAGCGAGCTGGACGCGAAAAGATAGATGATCATCGTAGTCACAAGCAGAGGAACGTGGCTGACTGGTCGGCCGATCGTCAACTATTTCCGATATTTTAATTTTTGCCTCCGGCCCTCTTGCTTCTCAACGTTCAACTTTCAAGTGCCATGTTTTTTTGAATTGTCCCAGAGTGACACGGTTTGCGAAAGGATATCTGTTACCATTCCGATCGGGTAAACCCGTGCCTCCCTCCTCGCTGACTAGAATCGTCCGACTTGCGTCCTCAGGGGAAGGGTCATGTACATCTGGATGAAGATCTGTACATGAACGATAGTCTAGGGCGAGATCGAGGGGCGGAGGGGGGGATGCCCGGAACTTGAAAGTAATAATGGCCGAAATCCGGCACTGTGGGCGCGCACGTCCAAACTCGGAATTCACGACGTCGCGTCGTCCCTCGCTTGCTCTACGCGCTGGCGCCGCTCCCCGAAACACACTCTTATGATCTAGGATAATATTATGGACTCTGACACAGTAGATGACACGTCCATACCTAGATTATCGCCTGTAGTTGACCATGAATGTGACGAACATCAAGACCCCCTTGACAACACTAAAAGTCATCCAGATGTATCTCGCGACACTATAATGATCCTCGGAGGGCATATATGATAAATTGTTGTGAAACGAGAAACAATTAGGTGCTTTAACGCATTGAAGAGATAAAGGGAGCAGTCAGTCGCTCTCTATTTTAGGACGCGTTCCTGGCGCACGCTCGCCATGCCAGTTCGGCCATCACATTTTTTAAGTAGCGCTCGCCCCCCCCCCCCCTTTCCGCCCCCCGATCTAATTCCAGACCCAACATCATTTGAACGACTCTTCTTCATACTGATCATTGAGTCTGGTTTACGAGACTACGTGAACGAGACCCTACAGTTGTGCGTACCGCTTTTCTTACATCGTAGACTCTAGAAGTCTGCTGCGCAGGACACAGCCATTAATGTATCAAGGCAGAAATGTACTATAACAGGGCATAACTACACTCTCGACTTGCGCCGTCTCTCCACCTTAAACTTCGCTTTCACCAATTTCAACACCGCGTACGCTAGAAGACGGTACAACACCATCGCGACAACAATAGCACCGAGATTAAGCTGTGCGTTGATGCCTCCCAACTCGAACATATCCAATACCTGCTCCCCGGAACTCACAGCACACGTACCATCAGCAAGCCGTTGGTCGTCGTCGCATGAGAATACCTGCCCACGGAACGCATATGGCATGATATTTCGCACCGCGTAGCCTAATGGTGAGAGCTTGTTCAACCCCTTCAGAAACGCGGGCATGTCCAAGCTCATTAGACCTGCCAAGTATGTTTATACAACGAGAGGAGAACGACAACGAAGGATGAACGTACCTGCCATGAACATCGCGACCGAAAGAATGACATTAGTCACATTAAGCGCAAGCCCAGTGTTTTCGTTGAGTAGAGTGTTGAACAATATGCCGAGTGATTCCCCAGCGTTGACGATGCATAGTGCATTTAGAGATACGATGAAGAACATGCTGACTGTCCGCCGGAGATCGGTCGCGATAGCCGTTAATGCCGAAAACATCAGGCAAGATATAATCTCGCAAGGTAGTTCTAACAAAACATACGCAATGAAGAATGACTCGATAGAGTATGCTCCATCATCGTATTCCTACACAGAACTTGAGTGTCATGTTCTTAGGGGAAAATGACAGATGCTACCCTATAAAAGATATCCCTTTCAACAGGATAGACTGCAATATTCTGCAGCATTCCGACAAAATACACTATATTGGATTCATAAATGATGTCCCTGCGACATATAGAACAGAAACGAACTTACAAGGAAGGATCTCCTGGATACAGCCAACGCGATTTTGTATGCTGATATAGTTGTGCCCAATGGGAGAGAAAAAGAGACTTGAAACGATCTTCTCCTGCTCATCAGAACGCTACAGAAATGCCCGTGGCACTGAAACACGCACCCCAAGTCCAAGAACATTCCCAAACCTCGCTTCCGGCACTGTCGTCTGACGTATGAAGGCCAAATATCCACGCTTCAAAAGTATAGGTAACGACGTTGTAAGCGGCGACATCTTCTTTTCATACCGCTTCAAATCCAGAGGAGGCCCTGATGTCTTCTTGTGATCTTTGACCTGGGTAGCCTGCTCTCGGAATGCCTCGACAAGCCTATCCACTTTGGCCCGGCTGAGTTCCTCTTGTTCGGCCTCGCGCAGATCTACAGAGACCACATCCAGAGCAAAGTCGGCGGGGTTCATTGTCGAGGGGCACTTGAACCCAATGGACGCCATGTAGTCCAGCATATCACATGCAGGTCCTGAATACGCCACCCTTCCTCCCTTGGTTAAAAGGAGTACATTGCCGAAATGCTTGAACAGCTCGGATGAGCTCTGGTGCAATGTCGTGATAATCGTCCGGCCTTCCTCGGCTAGTTGCCTTAGAACATCCATGATCGAAGCAGCCGTAAACGCGTCCAGTCCTGAGGTGGGTTCATCAAGCCTACAAAAGACACTTTCAGAAAAACGAAAGACGTGGGCCACGAAAAACTTACATCAACACCTGAGGCTCTGTGAGCACCTGGATCGCAATACTGACTCTTCTCTTCTCCCCACCCGAGATACCTTTCGAAAGCTCACTCCCAACTAAAGTATCCGCGCAATCCTTCAACCCCATCTTAAACATCACTTCATCCGCCTTCTGCCTCTTCTCCTCCTTTGACATCCACCCTGGCAATCTCAACCCGGCAGCAAATCGGAGCGTCTCCCGAACCGTGAGATAAGGAAGGAGTGCGGCATCATCCTGCATCACGTATGAGCAAAGCGCGCGTACAACCTCTCC